CGGAGAAATATTGTGGCTGCAAAAGTACCTACAGAGGAAAGTGGGGTCTCAAACCCATGCCAGGACCCCCAAACCAGAGCACCAGAGCTGGAAAGAAGAAACTGCATAGCATCTGGCAGCAAAAATAAGCAGTTACTATGTCTGCTGGAAAGAGGAGGGAGTCTGCTAAAATCCCAGGTGCTCTCCTTAGGGCCAATGCATGGGCTCGCTCTTGGGCACTCACGCAGGGCTCTGGTGGAGGAAAGGAGATTCAGGGAATACAGAAGCCATAGGGAGAAGATCTGGGTGACATAGTGCTAGAGATCAGGAAGGTAGGCTACTGAGGTCCCAGTCCGAGCCAACATCCCACACCACCCTCGGGCACCATCTTCGAGGGTTGAACACTTCAATTCTTACAGCACCAGCTGAAGAAAGTGCACTAACCCCAGCCTCCAAACACTGGTGACACCACTCTGCCAAGCTCAAATCCTGCATAAAGGACTGTAAGCTACACCCAACAGGGACCTGAGGTGCACTCTTTCTCTGGAGAAACTATAGGCAAACTCTCAGATGATCATTGAACTGAGTGGCTTGGGAACAAGGGCCAATCTTTCTCTCTCCCACAGGTTAGGCAGGCGCCATCCAAATGGAAGACTCCCTTGTCAGGGTCTCTGGCAGTGTGCTACAGAGCTAGGAGGCAAGAAGCTCTCAACACAACTCTCAAGGGCAGTGCAACCCTTAATGGGGGGCTGTGTTGATCTGTTCCTCCAAACTTTGCCGGCACCATGCTGCTGGTGCAGCATAACTCAGAACTGGAAGAATTGACACAAGCCCTCCTGCTGGTGCAACCTCAGAGGGGAAAGGAACACAACTCAGAATTGGGACATTTGGCACACCCCCTTCAGAGCCTTCCATCAGGGTCTCTGGTGGGGCGCTGCTGAGCTAGGAGAAGGCTAACAGCCAGCTCCCCTCCAGAGGGCCCATGAGGGGAAGACGGGGTAACTCAGAACTGTGACAAATAAATAAAACAAGAAATGAAAGAGGCAATCGAACAACTGACATCACAGAAATACAAATGATTGTAAGAAACTATTATGAACAACTATATGCCAATAAATAGACAAATGCCTAGAAACATACAATCTTCCAAAATGCAATCAGGAAGAATCAGAAAACCTAAATAGGCCAATAACAAATAATGAAACTGAAGCAGTAATAAAAAAAACTCCCAACATTTTTAATTAAAAAAAATTATTAGTGTTTCGGACTTCTTAGTATATATTCCTAAAAGTGAGATCATTGGGCCCAATGGAAGTTCCATTTTTAATTTTTTGAAGAAAAAAAATACTGTTTTCTATAGTGGCTGTATCAGTCTGCATTTCCACTAGCAGTGTACTAAGTTCTCCATATCCTAAACCAGCACCTGTCATTTGTTGATTTGTTGATGATAGTCATTCTGAAAGGTACTAGGTGATACCTCATTGTCATTTTAATCTCTCTGATGATCCGTGACTTTGAGCATTTTTTTATGTTTCTTGTCCATCTGTATGTTCACTTTGGAGAAGTGTCTATTTAGGTCCTTTGCCCATCTTTTAATTGATTTGTTTGTATTCCTTTTCTTAAGTTGTATGAGTTCCTTATATATTTTAGAAATTAACCTCTTATCAAGTGTGTCATTGGCAAATATGTTCTCCCCTACAGTGGGCTCTGTTTCATTTTGTTGATAGTTTCTTTTTCTGTGCAAAAGCATTTATTTTGATGTAGTCCCATTTGTTTATTTTCTCTATAGTTTCCCTTGCCCAAGGAGAGGTATCAGCAAACATAATGAAAATGGAACTGCCATTTGATCCAGTGATCCCATTTCTAGGAATACATCTTAAGAAACCCGAAATACCAAACAGAAAGTATATATGAACCCCTATGTTCATAGCAGCACAATTTACAATAGCTAAGATCTGGAAACAGCCCAAGTGCCCATCAGTAGATGAGTGGATAAAAAAGGCTGGTACATTTTTACCATGGAATACTATGCAACTGTGAAAAAGGAGAATCTTTACCCTTTGAGACAGCATGGAGGGACCTGGATGGCATTATGTTAATCAAAATAAGTCAGGCAGAGAAAGAAAAGTATCACATGATCTCACTCAAATGCGGAATCTAATGAACAAAATAAATGGAAAACAAAATAGATCCAGGGACACAGAAGCATGGAACAGACTGACAAATATCAGAGGGTAGGTGGGGGTTGGAGGGTGGGAAGGGAGAGATTAACAGGGGAACTTATATGATTATATGTAAAACCCATGGACACAGACAATAGTGTGGTGAAGGCCTGGGAGAGGCAGGTGTGGGGTTGAAGGGGTCAATGGGCAAAAGAAAGGGGAACATCTGTAATACTTTCAACAATAAAGACAAATTTTAAAAAAAAAAGGAAACTGCTAACAAACAAAAGTCCTGGCCTGGATGGCTTCACAGGTGAATTTTACCAAACATTCAAAGAAGAACTGACTAATACCTATCTTCCTCAATCCATTCCAAAAATTCAAGAGGGGGTAAGACTCTTTTTATGAGGCCAACTTTATCTTAATTCAAAAACTAGATAAAGACACCACAAAGAAAGAAAATTATAGGCCAATATTCCTAATGAACATAGATCCTAAAATCCTCAACAAAATATTAGCAAATTAGATGTAGCAATCTATATATATATAAGCCTAAGTGACCATTATGACTGGTCGACCAAACGACCAGTTGACCAGTCACTATTACACAGATGCTCAATGCAGGAGCTGCCCCCTGGTGGTCAGTGCACTCCCACAGCCAACCTCCTATGGTCCTTCCCCCTGGCAGGCCAGCCCCGATGGGCCCTGATCACTGGCCTGCCGAAAACATTTATCCGGCCCGCCGGGTGTTTTTGCCGCTGCTGCCTGTTGCTTAGCAGCCGACTCGTCCCGGGCCTGCAGTGCGCATGTGTGGAATGTGCGCTGCACTCTCCGACTCCCCTCCTTCTCTCTGTCTCTCGACTCCTCCTCTCAGTCTCGGGTGTGATCGGACGAGTCACGAGCTTGCCTGTGCAGAGCCTGCTGCTGCCTGAGGACCGAGGTAAGAACAAGTTAGGATTTTTTTTTTTTTGAAGTTAGGAGGTGCTAATAGCGTGCACTGGCAGACCATTCATGGAGGGAGAATTTGTTAAAGAATGCCTTCTTTCTGTTGCCAAAGAGATGTGTCCAGAGAAGGCTGATTTATTTAGTACAGTGAGTCTTTCAGGATCTACAATTACACGAAGGATTGAAGAAATGGGAGACAATTTGCATCAGCATTTGCAAAACTCCGCAAAAAAACTTTCCTATTTTTCCTTGGCACTCGACGAAAGCAATGATGTTCGTGATTCTGCACAACTTCTAATTTTTATTCGTGGGATGAATGACTATTTCGAAGTCACAGAAGAGCTTGCTGCACTGCAAAGCATCAAAGGAACAACTACAGGAGAGGATATCTATGAAAAGGTTTGCCAAACTGTGAATGGTTTGGAGCTGGACTGGGCTAAACTAGCCAGTGTGACAACTGATGGTGCTCCTAGCATGGTGGGGTCTAAGAAAGGAGTAATTGCTCGCATTAACCAAGAGATGGACAAACATAACCATTCTCATCCAATAGCCATCCACTGCCTCATCCACCAACAAGCGCTGTGTAGTAAATCACTGGAGTGGGACTCTGTTATGAAAATTGTGGTATCTTGTGTTAACTTCATTAGAGCTAATGCACTAAACCACAGACAATTTCAGGAATTTCTGTCTGAGCTAAATGTTGCCTATGAAGGCAGGCCTGCGGTGATCTGGCCTAAACCGGCAGTCAGACATCCCCGAGGGGTCCCGGGTTGTGAGAGGGCGCAGGCCAGTCTGAGGGACGACGCCCCCCCCGCCCCCCACCGTGCACAAATATGTGCAACAGGCCTCTAGTAAATCAATAAATGAAATGAACAAAATGAAAGATAAAAATCACATAATCCTATCAATAGCTACAGAAAAAGCATTGCATAAAATCCAGCATTGATTTATGTTAACAATTCTTACCAAAGTGGTAATAAAGAGACCATATCTCAACATAATAAAGGCCATATATGAAAACCTACAGCCAACATTATACTCAATGAGAAAAACTAAAAGTGTTTCCCTTAAGATCAGGACCAAGACTGGGATGTCTGCTTTCACCAATCTTACTCAACATAGTACTGGAAGTTCCAGCCACAACATTCAAATAAGAAGAAATAAAATGCATCCAAATTGGAAATGATGAAGTGAAACTGTTATTATTCACAGATGACATGATAG